AGCTGGTGACAGCAATGAGATCTCCGTTGAGCTTCCTGTTTTCCTGGCTGAACATTCCCAGCTTTCTCAGCCTCTCCTCATACGTCAGGTGCTTCAGAACATCTGACCACCTTGGTGGTCTCCCCTGAACTGACCCCAGTGTGTCCACATCTCTTGCACTCAGGAGCCCCAGCACCACCGACGCAGCACTCCAGGTGTGAGCACTGAGGGATCACTTCCCTTGACCACGTTTGCTACTCCAGCCCAGGATGCCGTTGGCCTGCGTTGCCACAAGGGCGCAACGCTGATTCGTGTTCAAGGTGATGTCCACCAGGATCCCAAGGCCCTTTTCTGCAGAGCTGCTGTCTAGCCGGGGAGCCCAACTTACACTGCTGCACCGGGCCCTATATTAAAGGAGAGACTGCCGCTCAGTGTAAAGAATGGGTGCTGAGGCTATCTCTAACAACTAGTAATGTGCTATGTATTAATATATTGCTGTTTTAATTACAAACAATGCTATCAGCATGTAAACGGATGCAAACCTTCCTGAGTAACAACAGCATCTGATAAAGGAGGTCAACTTTTCTAAATACTGATCCATTAAGCTGAAATTTTTTCAAATGGCTGTTCCCCCTTGCTCTCCCATGCTTGTTTGTTCAGTTGTTTCAGCTCTTCAGTGTCAGTTCTGTCCCTGGCACTGTCAAAGGAATGCTTGGAAGTTACCGTGCTCTCTTGGGAAGATCTGGTTCCCCTTTGCTTGAGAAGGGAATTTGAAATGGGGAAAGACCACTGTGGTGGCATTGCATTTGAGCCTGCTGTTTTCCTTATGAAAAATTCCTAAAACTTTGCCAGCTTGTGTGTCTCTCAAAGCAGCAGTTTACAAATGCCCCAAATAAATTTAGTGTGTTCCTTGAGCAAAAGATGCTCAAGAAAGCTGAAATCTAAACATTTTCTTGAACCTTACAGATGTTTCTGGCCAAATATTGTAAATGCTAATCTGCAGAGTAATTCAGCATGCTCTGGCGTAAAGCTGAATAGGTGTCCTCTGCAATTTGTGGTGTTTGTGGCCTAATACAGTGCTGAAATACAGGCAGAAAGACATTCGCTTCCTGTTCTCCATCCTGCCCAGGCACTGTATGCAGATAAGGAAGAGCATCTTGAAAACTTGAAGATGAAGTGGGAAGCAGGCTAGGTGATGCACTTTAGAAACAGAGAGAAAAAGACAAGACTCAGGGAGAAGGACAGAAGATGTCAGAAAGTTCCAGATTTTTCAGGACTCTGAAGTTAGGTTTGAAGAGATGGCATTCATTTGTTAGGACAGCAGTGTGGTCACTTTAGCTATGGAGCCATTGCCCTGACGGGTACAGGTCCTCAATGCAGAATTGAAAGGTCCTAATGTTGACCACGCTGAATGTAAGTTTAGGTATGTAGTTTCACATAACGTAGGCTTTTAGAGCTAAGCACTCGGAAACTGGGAAAAACCAGGCTGAGGATTGTCAGTGCAGCGGTAATTTGATCCCTCTGTTCCCATAGAATTGGATTCTGCTGGATTTATTGGATCACGGAGATCGTGAGTGATGCTGTACAGATCATTGGAGACGAGCTTCTCACAGGCAGCCTCGATCCATGTGTTCATTCACTGACATCCAGCTTGTTACTTCGCTGTCTTACTCAGCCAAGTGCCCGAGGCTTGCAGCAGTGACCGAAGTCAGAAGGAGCTGACTTCTGAACATACCAGGTACAAAGAACTGCGCTTCATGTGTCTCAAGTGGGTGCCATAACTCATCAAGAGTGATAGTGTTGTCCTTAATCACTTCGGGCTGAAACCTATGTCTGTGGATGGGGCTGTTAGATCTGCCCTCCCCCAAAGGACTGGTATGAGTTTATGGAGTTTTCTAGGAATTTCACAGGAGAAATCCCTGAGGAAATCAACAGCAGTAACATAGTAAATGCCCATGAACTGAATGATGAATATTAAATTTTACGTTGTACAACTTTTATTCAGCACATACAGACTGTAGGCAGAGACTTGGTAGATTAGTGATATTTTTATAGAGATGCTGCAGAATTAGCATACACATGAACATATTACAGCATTAGTATTTTCATGTTGTGAATTACCATGTATGTGCTTCTCCATTTCTTCCTGTTTTTATTTTATCTAACACCTTAAAATAGTTCTGGGTGAGAAAGACAAATTGCAGGTTACACTTTTGAGAATAGGGGGAAGGAAGGGTAAACCTATTCCTGCAAAATTGTGAGTATATTACGCAGGAGCTCTTACTCAGTGTGGTTTTCTCTTTGTGTTTTCTTTGTCAAGCTCAAAAAATAAAGTCTAATTATTGTTGGGCCAGTTGGAATCTGCTCTCTGTGGATGGCTGATGAAGTTTAGTTTTTCTGAAGTTCAAACAATGGTTAGCACAAATGCAACATAGTCCTGCACACACATGATTTAGTTTACATGAATGGCAACTTGCTGCTGTGGATTGCCATTCTGAAGTCATGAAAAACATTGTTTGCTGTTTCCAAATGTAGATGCTAAACACAAAAAGAATCAGCTGATGAACACCACACATGGCAGTTCAAGGATCAGACTAGAAGTGGGAGGATCATCAGCTCCGGGGAAGCCAGTGAGAGTCAGGAGTGCAGTCAGACGAGTGATGTGACTGGTTTTCAGAGCCACATCTGCATTTCAGGTGAAAAGCATCTCAGAAACAGCTAGTGATTAGAAGAGATCTAAATGATCCTGAGATTGTCAGATGCCTCTGTTCCTGTTCCACCATGCTGTCTAGAAAATGGTCCACTATTTCCAGACAGGAAGGGTAGATGTTCTCACTGTCTCAGTGCGTTGACGCACTTGGTCATACAGTTCTAAAGCCAAGTAAACCTGACTTTTAAGCTGCACCACACTTTTTTATTTTCTTTTAGATGGGGAGTTTTCATCTTGATGTTGTGACATGAGGTGAAAGTCTTGATTTTACTATTATTGAGGGAGGAGGTAGAAAAACCTTTCATTTCCTAAAGCTTTCTCTATATGATTGAGTTGAGTCTATGTGGCTTATGTTTTAAATTCGAACAATTATCTTACATGTGTGGATTTGTGAATGAAAGCTCTTCTCTAAGGATATTAATGGATTTTCTTGGTTTACACTCCTTGGTAGAATTGCACGAAGAATTGGTTTAAGTTTAAATTCACTTTTTTGCTTCTGTGTAAATGTGATCTTAATCGGGACACTTCTCAAGACCAGTACATACCCCAATGAACTACACAAACCCAAGAGGCTGTGTCTGTGATGGAATTTTTCCCATCTCCTCCCTAACATCTTTAACACAATGACAATCCCATAAAATGTGTTGTAAACTTGCAGTTTTAATTCACATTATATCTAGACCTATTATAGCAGCCTCCCAGTACCCTAAGGGGGCCTACAAGAAAGCTGGAGAGGGACTCTTTACAAGGGCATGAAGTGATAGGACAAGGGGTAATGGCTTTAAACTGAAAGAAGGTAGGTTTAGATTAGATATCAGGAAGAAATTCTTTACTCTGAGGGTGGTGAGGCACTGGCAGAAGTGGCCCGGAGAAGCTGTGGCTTCCCCCTCCCTGGCAGTGTTCAAGGACAGGTTGGACAGGGCTTTAAGCACCCTGGTCTAGTGGAAGGTGTCCCTGCTCATGGCAGGGGGTTGGAACTAGGTGATCTTTAAGTTCCCTTCCACCCCAAACCATTCTATGATTCTATGATTATACTGGCTATGTACACAGGCGACTTTTCTTAACCTGCGAATAACTGAAGGGATGTGTTGTTCACAGTGGATAGCATGTTTCAAAATGCTGTGAAGATACTTCAGTTCCTGGAAAAACAAAAACGAATCCTCCAGACACAGAGATCTGGAGATAGCCTGCTTGGTGCTGCTTCTTAACTTGGTTCTCTTTCTTGTTAATTTAAACGAGGTCATGGGATATACAGCTTTTGTGATGGGAAATTTTCAGCTTCCTGCTTGCTGTAACACTTGGTGCAGGGTTCTTGCTGAAGCTTTCAGATTTCACTTTCTGCAAAGACTTTAGGTCTGGAGTTTCAAGTAAACAACATACTTAAAGGAGACATGTTTTGTTACCACGTAACTGGTCTGTACAGATTACTCATTCTGTGGCTTTTTAATGAAATTTGTAGTTAGGACGTCTGAGACAAATGCACAGAAATCTGATCTGTAACAACGGTGTTAACTTTATTCCTTCAGTAGGATGTTTCCATCATACAAAACAGAAGGGTTGGATGGATGGTTTTACTTACAAAATGGTGCTATTGCTGTGTCGTTTTGTTTGATGCCTGGTACACTATGAGCAATGACAGCATGTGGAGACCCTAAACTTGCCTTTCCTTTTTTTTTGATTCTATCTTGATACTTTTCACATCCTTTCTCGAAACTTTTCTTTCCCAAATGTATGAGTAAATGCCATTTCTGTTTCTGAGAGGCTTCCTACTGTTCTCCCAGGAAAAGCAAACTTAGAATGACAGAGGACCTGTGACATTTGGGGCAGCTGATGTAATGAAGGGTTAAGATCTAGAGATTTCTCTAGTGAGCAGCGGTGGGAAACATCCAGTTATTAACAGGTCTACACATACTGATAGCTGAAGGCTTCCTATCATTTGCTCAAGAGTTTGGGGTTTTTTTTCCAGGTGAAAGACTTGTATTTTTGGGGGGGCTGAGGTCTGTCTTATTATTCTTTTGGATTTGTCTTCAGGATTTGTTGTCTTCTCTCTTGCAGTTTTTTTAGTTTCAAAGCTTTGTAGTTTTTAGCTTCTTTTTTTACTCAAAAGAGTGTTCTAGCACCAGTTTTGGGTCTGAGATCCATCACTGTATTTTTATTTGTACTGTGTACAAATTTAAAATCTGATATTTGGGATTATCTTTGTTGTTGTTATCTATGATGTAGTTATTAGTTATGAACTTTCAAGTCTTGTAAAGCAGTATTTTATTTACTTTAAACTTCTTTCCTCCCGTTCCTCTGTTTTACAGGCAGGATGAAAGACCGGCTAAACGAGCTGCGTGAATTTGCCAGGTTACACAACCAGCAGTTTACTGATAATGAAGATGATGAAAATTCACCCCGTGATGTTCTCCTTTATGAGACTGACTATGCCTTGGAAATTCTTCATAAAGACATACAGAACATCCGGACAGAAAACGACCACCTAAAAGAGGATGTCAAGCGGCTCAGAAAGCAAAACAGCCGCTTCCTTACTTCCATGCGCCGTCTTAGTAGTATCAAACGAGATACTAATTGTATTGCCAGAGACATCAAGGCCCGCGGAGAAAGCATCCACAGGAAACTCCAGGTAATGAGAGATTTCAGCGAGGATGCGATAACAAAATACGGGGCAATGTCTGTCATTGCCAGGGTAGCGAAGAACCACTACGTTGACCTCATGCACGCCTTTCAGGAAGCTATGTTTGAATACAATGCAACAGAGATGGACCAACGGGAGAACTGCAAGATTCGAATTCAGCGGCAGCTAGAGATCATGGGCAAAGATGTTTCTGGCAACCAGATTGAGGAGATGATCGAGCAAGGCAAGTGGGACGTCTTCTCTGAGAATCTCTTGTCAGACGTTAAGGGGGCTCGCTCAGCCTTAAATGAGCTAGAGACACGTCATAAGGAGCTGGTGAAGTTAGAAGGTCGCATTAAGGAAGTTCACGAGCTCTTTCTGCAGGTGGCCCTGCTCGTGGAGGAACAGGCGGACACCTTCGATGTCATTGAGATAAATATGCAAAATGTGGAGGACTATGTAGGAGAAGCCAAAGAGCAAGTGAAAAAGGCTTTGGAATACAGAAGAAAACACCCCCTCAGAACAATCCTCTGCTGCTGCTTATCCTGTTGTAGAAGGTGACTATCCCACTGAAGCTATCACGGACAGACTCAAATGTCTTCAGGATGAGGCATTCTTCCCAGTGACTTTTCTGTAATGACAGCCTCTAGAAACAGAGGAGCTATTTTGCAATTGTTTTCGTTCATTGCCTTTTTCCTGAATGTGCTGAAGGCTGTTCTATTTGAGAGCTCCTAGAAATGTTGATAAAACTATTTTTAAGCTATTTTTAATTGAAATGTACTCTGTTGCTGTAACTAGAGGGGCAAGAAGATCTCTGCAACGATACTTGTTTCAGATAGGCAAGAAAGAGCAATGAATGATGGACTGATAACTCAGCCTAGGGAAGATGAGAAATTTCCAGAAGTAACTTTATTCTTATTTGCCAAAGTGAGTCTGCAGGCGGTGCAGCCTGGGGAATCACAATACACCATAGAATCAGGAGGTTTCAATTTTAACTAGTTTGGAGCCTGCTTGATGCAAATACTTGAACAGATTTTTGCTCTGTTTATTTGACAAAATACTGAGCCCATTAGCAGGAGCAGGACACAGAACTAGTTTCTGTTTCAACTTGATTTCCGTCTGTCACGAATCTTAACAGAAGTAACTGCACCTTAAATTATAACATGCACATTTTTCTCCGTTTGTGTGCAAGTGATTTCTCCATTTTGAGCACCCACAACTTTGTCAAGGTGGCTAGAAGCAACACTGAGGCATCTCACCGACTTTCAACTTGAGCCACTCTCTGTGCTCTTAATTTCAGAACTGCCATGCTTTTATGCTTCCCATACATTTTTCTGCCAATTAACACTTCAGCTGGAAAAGATGCATGCAGTGGCCTTCTGCAGAAGCACCCATAAGAAGACAACAGTTGGGGGGGCAAAGAAAGCATTTTAGGGTCTCCCGTGCTGGCACATACACACAAGCAGTTTTAGCAGAAGAATTATCCTGTCAATAGACTTTTATTTTTTTTATAGGCATTGATTTAATACGGATTTTTTAATATATATTTTAAATAACATGAAGAAATAAATTTATTTATTCCATTTTACTGATGTACAAAAGCTAAGGCTCTTCTGCCATTATTAGGAAGTCTCCACCTGGGAAAGAAAATAGATGTATTTCTTCAGTACACCTGAAGAAGAAAGAAAACATTTTAATGTCATTTCAGTGCTCTTTTCAAGCTTAAAAGCAATCTCTCCTTTTGTATAAGGGGAGTCTGCCTGCAGTAGGTTTGGAATATGAGGAGGGAATAGAAAATTTGCAGCCCTGGAAACCAATGAACACTGTCAGTGAAGCATATATTCATAAGGTCTGGGGAGTGATTTTAACTCCTGCTTTTGGAGGTTTTCCAACTATAATATTTCTAGGTGGCTTCCTGATACACTGTGATCTACTGCTGTCCTTTGAATTAACGCAGGACATTTTTTCAGAAGTTAGTGACCATTTTTAAAAACTCTGATCCTACTTGTACCTCTTTTAATAAATAGATTTAAACATTTCAGCTATTTTGCATTTGGGAGTTTTCCTCGGGAGATGCTCACAGCCATCTTCCTGCACCAATCACAATGAAACGTTTCCTTTCTGACCTTTTGCACACTAATTCTATATGTGAAAAAATACCATACATTTCTTACTATTTATATTGATATAGCAAACCAGCAAAATAAATTCAGCTTCGAAGCTCTCATACCCTAGTGGGAAATGCTTCGTAGCCAGACAGGCTTTTTTACACAAATAGAAACTATATGGATAACTTTTCTCAGAAACGGAAAGTCTCTTTTGCTGAAGCACCTGTCTGTGATAACATGGAAGAGTAAGGAACATCGATCTTCTAAACTAGAAGATATTTTGATATTCCTTGATGTCCTGATGATATCAGTATTATGCTTGCCTGAGGACCTCTCCAACAACCCAGGTTCAAACTTCAAGTGGGAGAAAGGAGGGTGTTGAGCTGTCACCATGGTAACTGCTTTGGTGCTACTCAAGAAGACAAAGTCCTTTACACTGCGGGTACTGCCATTCATGCCAGTGGAACTGTGCATTTGCAGAGAAATACCCTAACCCTCTGAGGGTCAGCATGTGGGCATAAATCAATGAAGAATAAAATATGTATTTCACTTCATCTGCATATTCTTATCATTCATCAATGCTTTTGATAAAAATGTGTACTTTTTTTTTGTTGGTTTCTTTTTTGCACATATGTATGTCTACAAATGGAATAAAATATTTAATAAGAAAAGCTGACAGTGCAGTGTTGTACATTGAATCGGCAGCTCTGAATAGTTTCTTGAATTGTCAAAGTTTAGTTTAAATGCTGCTGGACTAAACTCTGAGTTGGTGAAAAGGGCATTAAACAATGCCTAAAAATCCTCATCCTAATATATGTTGCCACAGTGACTCAAATGCGTTGCATATTGAGGTAGACTTCCAATAATTTTTCCTACAAAAAGCACGAAAAATGAGTTTCATACATTCAAAGATGATTCTTTACTGCAAGAAAAAATAAAAAGTTTACTCTGGCAGTTCTGAGAGATCTTGATGATTTCATTAGTAGAAATGCAAAGCTTATATTCAGATCTTTAGTCTGATTTGAGGCACGTGGAAAGACAGTGAAAGCATGAAGAAAAAGGTAATTGGAGACCTTGTCTCTTGAATTAAGACTGTTGCTGCATGGAAGAAACTGAGACTCATTGAACCACCAGCTTGGGACCCTTTAAAACTATTTTTAAGTTGCACTGTGAATTCGAGGCACTTAAAAAATTAATTCCAGTAACTAAAGAAATCGTTCTCTTCCTTGCAAACATGTGTTCATTGCTTAATACTATGTGGTTTTGCTATCCTGCAGTTGTGTAAGAACTCAAATTTTGCCAGACTTGCCTAGTCACAGTTAAACAGACTTTTGAAAAAAACCTGATCACACTATGGCCGCAAAGACTCATGCCACACAGGATGGGTGGAAGAAGATGATAAAAGTAGTTTGATAATATGCTAGCATAGTAATAACAGAAGCTGCAGAATGGACATCTTCATGCTTGCTAAAGAAAGCTGCCTTTTCATTCTGAAAGTCAATGGGGCTCCTATGGAGACGCACGTAGCATATTCCATGGTTGGAGGTTTTTTTCACTTTTCCCGGATGTGGCAAACCCTATAGCTGGGTTTGAGGGGGGAGTAGCTAAAATGTGAGAGGGGCTGCTGTAACTTTCAGGGGCGTTGGTGCTTTGGTTTTGTTTCCTACTGAAAGCAGCAGAAACTTCACAAAAAAACCCCTATGAATCTCAGCCCTGTCTGAGGAGGAGAAAGGAGAACTGGCAACTAAGCACACCTTGCTCCTTCTTAAAATGTAAAAAAAACATTGCATAAATGTAAAAGAGAAAAAAATTCCCATATTACAAAATATTTTGTATAGAATGCCGAACATCCTGGATATGTGTATGAGTCTTCATCTTAGTGGATTTTTTTCTTTTAAATGTGGGTTTCATTGTACAGAAATGGCAGTTAAACCCTTGCCACCTCAATGCGAAGGACTCAGACTACGGATGCACTTGAGCAGGCATCTCTCTAGCACATGTCTTGGGAGAAACTTCCAGAAGGTATAGTTCTTTTTTTTAGAAGAGAAAACCTGAGGCTGGACTGAGTAGCTAAGCTAAATTGCTGCTTTTCTAATCCAAGGAGGCCAGCCTACGTTAAGGATGTTTTGAATGCACAGCCCGAGTTGTATTTTATAATTTCTTGAAAACAAAACAGGTTGTCTAGATTTTTGAACCACAGTAGGAGTTTGGAATTGACTTGAAAAAAAGGAAAGAGCTACACATGGTTGTGTTTCTACGTCTAGAAAGATATCACAGATAAGATGAAGTCAGAAAACAGGATCATTTAATAGATACCATATGTGGCAATTACAGTAGATCTGTTTCCAAAGCAGCGTGATTTTCACATGGAGCCATGGAATTTGTTTCTCCAACATGTGAGAGGGCAGCAGCAGATCTGCCTTCTCCCATGTTCCTAGCACATTAAATAGTGTCTGTGTAATAGCTGAGCCGAAGCCAGGAACAGCCAGCGGAAGTCAGCTCCACCGTCGTGCCTTACCTTATGGCACAACCGCTGCTAGGGCACAAAGTCTTAACAGGTAAAAGTAACTTGTTAACTGCATTTCTCAGAAATAATGTTAGATGTGAACAGAGAGCGAGATAACCAACTTGATGGCATCTTTATAGTCAATACCTTTGCTGGAAGGCACAACCCTACTGAACGGGGAGCAATGCTAGCTATGGTGTGTGTATTATAGATATATAAGAAGTTATATTCCAGGTAAGGACTGGACAGGGGTAAGTAAAACGTCAGTACCCAGCACCGCTTCTCCCCAGAGGCCCAGTCAGCTGCCG